AGGCTGATGAATGTTCAGTCTTTACATCTCCCACAAGTTTTGTCTGGTGTCTGGCTCATTGGCCCTGAATCAGTGCTGGCTCTCAGATCCCGGCAGGCTTCCTCCTGTGCCTCTGTTGTCGAGGCATTTGTGTTTATTAGGCCATGGTCCCTGGTTAGGACTTGCATCTGACTGGTATCTGTGATGACTTTTGATTGGGACTGGCACGTTTCCTTGCTGACTCTCACCAGGGTCATGGCGAGTCAGTCTCCACCCTTGCTGTCTGGAAGGAGACATTGGCCTCTGCTGTCATCGACCTTCCTGGAGTAAGAGTCCTACAGAGAGAGACACACTGTCTATAGCCTCACTTCCACGTGGGATCTCGCCAACTTGACCTTCTTTATAAGGACATCAGAACAGTGAATTTCAGGAAATGAGAAAAGCAAGCAGGCGGTTTAAAAATGTAAAACTCTGTATGTTTTTTTTTTTGAACATACAGAGGATGTTGAACTCAGGGGTGCTTAWCCACTGAGCCACTTCCCCAGCCCTTTTTACTTTGGGACAGGGTCTCATTAAATTACTCAGGGCCTCCCTAAATTGCTGAGAATGGCTTTGAACTTGCGATCCTCCTGCCTCAGCCTCCTGAGTCATTGGGATTATAGGCATTTTACCACATCTGGGTAAAACTCTGTTTTTTTCGAATAGGTAAAACATGCATATAATTCAGAATTCAAAAGGTTCATCAACATATACGTTCAATTCATCAGTTTTTCTTTGGAGCAAACTGTGTCAACATGTGACTATATATTTGAAATCTGTGTTATTCTCACTCTTTACTTTTTTCTGGATGTTTCTCTTGTCTCCCTCACAAAAATCATCCCGCTCCCCTCTTACAGCCTAGTACCTGGCTGAGTGTTTTGGACAGGCACCTGGCAAATGCTGCGGATCAGCTGACAGGCTGTCTGTAGTAGGGGAATATTTGATGAGTCAGGGCTTATAGCTTCTTCATTTGGTTGTGAATTAGATGCATTTTCATTCACTTATGTTCCCAGGATAAGCCAAGAAGTGCTGATGGCCACATTGGCCTCACTCCTACCTCTTCCTTTCATAACCATCACTTCCTTTTGTATTGTCGCCAGTTAAGGATAGTTTAGGGCTCACTCACGCATTTTTCAGGGGACGATTGTGCAAGAAATGTTGATATTTTCCAATACTTTTTTGGCTTCTTCAATTGTTTCTTCCTTTGGCTTTTGCAAGAAAAATCTTCATCTCTGCCTCACTCCTTCCCCCACCCCCACTGACACACACCCACAGGCACTTTGAGGCCTCTCTGTCYCTTCCCTCCCCTCCCTTCCCCTYCCTTCCCTTCCTGAAGGAAACCACTGAAAAACGAGGAAAGAACTAAAAGAAAGAATCCCCGTCTCTCCTCCCGAGGAGTTTTTCAGTTTTTGCTGCTGGTCACTGGGAGGTGTTGAGTATTTGGAGACTTCTTTTCTTTGCCCTTGTCTTTTGCTCACCCCAGGCCCAGCTGATAGCCTGCCTCCCCTCTGGGCAGGTTTTAGGGATTCACCTATTTCCAGTCCTCTCCTGTGTATTCTACTGTTCTCCTTCTGGGGTCCCTGGCTGCTCAGAGACCTTGGGCCTTTGGCAATTTCCCTGGGCTTCCGCTCCCTTCCAGAGGCCGAGGCTTAGCCAGAGAGCTGCAGAGAGGCGGCCCCACAGTCCTGAGGGCGGACGCAGGGGCCAGTGATTAAGTAGCCAGGTCTTTAGCTGCCTGCATCCTTGTTTGTCATAACTCTGCTATTTTGGTCTCTGTGACTTGTGGCTGCACCATGATTAGGGTTTGATTACTATCACCAAAGCGACTAAAAGATGAAAATAGAAGCCACAACAGGAAATAAACAACTGCAAATGAGATATTTTATTCCACTATTCCCTGCCAGCAAATGATTAAAATCAAACTCATTCACAATAGTTTGGTGAACTCCTAAACTCTTCTTAAAGGATCAGAATGGTCTGGAACTCTGTTTTTGTGGGTCTCATTTATGCCTGTGAAGGGAAGGAGGGACCTCCCTTTCTAGGCACACCAGCCAGGCACAGCCCTTCTACCTCCCTGGCTTCTGGATTCTTTCTTGGAAAGGAAAGGAGTGTGAAAAGAATGTGATGGGGTGGGGCGGCTGTCAGGAGGGTTGGGATGTTAACTGATTCAGGGGATGCCAGGGAGCCATAAAGCACCACCAAACATTGTAGCTACTTGCCCAGCATCCCACCCACTGCTACCCAGGGTAGTAAAATGAAGGAGGAAAGCTGGGTAGAGAGGGCAAAATAGGGGTGACGCCTGAATTAAAACACCCACAATTACACGAGATGGGAACATAGCTCTGCAAGTATATGCACGTTCCACCCAGACAAGCTGTGACGTCAGATGCAACTCCTGAAACACCCACTAAACCTACCTGCCCTGTGTGCACTCTGGCCTCTCATCACAGAGGGTGTTAGCACCACTGGCCAGATTTCCAGAAGATTCTTCAGATTCTCCAAGTAGCCAAGAAGCTGAATTAGAACGATGACATTTGCTTTCTGTGTTTATTTAATCCTTCATGACACTTTGTAGTCTGGCCTGGCCTCTCTTCTAGGGAGACCCAAAACAGGGAGAGGGAATCGGACTCTGARAATACAAGACACTTGCCCAGAAAGCCTTGGAAAGCCTGCCAAGGGCTCACCTAACCTGAGGCTCACTCTTGGCACCAGTTATTTAACCAGTGAATGGCAGAGCCCCAAACTAAAATCAGGTTTTCTCACTTCTAGTTTGCTCTTCCTAAGTCTTTTGAAGGTCAATGTATTGTATATTTCTCAGACACCCCCCAATGCCATTTGGCTCTTTTGCCTTTCACTGCCTATGGGGATGGGATCATCCCTCCTCCATTCGCTCCCTGGCTCTGTCTTCACACACACACACACACACACACACACACACACACACACACAAACACAGACACAATTTCAACAGAGAACCTTTTAATTTATAAACAAAATTATGTTATATAATTACAGCCTATGTGACTTTACAAAGTAAATATTCAGAATGCCAACCTCTGCCCTGCCCATGGTTCTGTGCTGTTGGTATTACAGTCTTCTAGGCTCATGAGCTCCCATGCCTGGAGAGAATCATGTGACCAATGTTGCCAATATCCTTTCATACTCATGTCACCAAAGGTGATTTTGTTGGGATAGAGGGTTCCAAATGCACCTTTAAGTCCTATCAAATTCTAAGTGTGGATTAATGTGTGTATGTATATATATATATATATATATATATATATATATATACACACACACACACACATATATATTTGTGTGTATGTATATGTGTGTATATATGTATATACACGTGTGTATTTACTGGAGATTAAATCTGGGGCTCCCACTGAAGTACACCTCCAGTCCTCTAAATATTTCTTAAGTATCTCTTGCATGTAAAAAACCTTCCAAATTGCTGGAGGAAAGAGGGCTTGAATTATAAAGATTCATCCTTGCCTTTTCCTTTTAAGAATAATTTAGTCAGGGCGATGCAAATAGTACATCACCTTTTCTAAAGATTCTTTAAATCCTCATTAAGTTTCATTGCTATCTTGACCTCCCAATTCTAAGTGACTTAAAAAAAACAAGCCGTATTTCAGTGAATAAGATGCCAGGTTAGATCACCATGCCAACTAGTGGCCTCGTCAACACTGACGCATATGTAATATTTAAATACTATAGTACGTTTCTCGGCACCAGCAGCTTTCACCACGTAAACGCGCTCAGGTCCTTTACCCAACTAACGCCTTTCCCATTTCCACGCAGAAACCTCCAGCTGGGAATACCCATCTCTGGATCCCGGGGTCAGGGGATAAACTCTGATTCTAAGCACCTTGAAAGCTACGAGGCCAAGGAGGGCGCGGAAACAGGACCCGCATGCAAATGAAAGCCCCGGGCTGGTCTGCTCGCTGGGTAACCATCCCGCGCCCGTAGGCGGAGTGGCGGGTGGTGGAGGTCTTCCGGGCCCTGGAGGAAACCTGCCGGCGGCGCACAGGCGAGTCCCCTCCCTCTCCCAGTTCTCCCGCCAGGATGCTACCCCTCGCAGCTCGTCAGCCGGCCAAATGCATTCCAGAGCTGTGCACAAGACACACTTCTCCAGGCAGTCCTAGAAACCGGAGCCCGGAGCGGGAGAGGGCGGGAGGGAGCGCGCGGCCGCTGCTGAGGTCACATTCGCGCCGCCTCCCCGCCCTCGGTGGCCCGGCTGTTCCCTCCAGCGCACACTTCCCAGGGCCTCGGTCCAGTGCGGTGTAAATGTCTTTTAAACAGAGGGAGCGCTCTCCTCCCCTTTCCCTCCCCAGCAGCCAAGGGATCCGCCGCCAGGGCCTTTAAAACAAAACGAATGAATGAAGCGCTAGGGCGAGCGCGCGCGGGACTGCCGCTGCGAAGCTCCGAAGGGTCTAAATCCGGCCACCGACCGGCTCGTTCCGCTCCAAAACTCGCCGGCGAAGCCCGCTCGGTGCTCCTGACTCTTTCAATTTCTCCTCTGCTCCTGCTGGATCTCAGCCGATTCTGGGAGCTTTTCTGTCCCCCACCTTTCTCATCCTGCCCCACAGGTCCCCCCACTGCAGACCCGGGAGCGGGTGGTGGTGGCGGGGGTGGGGGGGAGAAATAGCTTTTAGAAACCCGATCTGTTGTTTGCGAAACACAATCGCTTTTTTTTTTTTTTTTAAAGCGACAGGGTGTCTAGACGGCCACGTGACGAGGCCGGAGCCGGGCGCGCCACTGCGCAGTGGAACCAGCCGAGCAGAGGGCCGGGTGGGGGGGCGGGGAGGAGGCGGCGGCGGCGGCGGCGGCGGCGGCTGGGGGCGGGGGAGGAAGGGGGAGGAAGGGGGAGGGAAGGGGGCGGAGGCGGGAGGCCTTGCGGGAGGCGGCGAGCCTCGGGCACACTCGTTGCTGCTCGGCGCAAGGAGGATCTTGTCCCTTAGCCGCGCCAGCCGAGCCAGCCGGGCGCCGTGCTCGGTCTGCTCGCCGCGCCGGAGAGAGCTGCCCGAGACGGAGCCAGCCCGCCGGCGCCGAGCCGCCGAGCGCCCGGCCCAGGAGCCCCTGAGTGCGGCGCGGCGAGCCCCCGGCGGCAGCAGAAGGACCCGAGCGCCAGGAGAGGGCGGACGGGGGACAAGGAGGCTCCCGGGCGCGACGAGGAGAGTCTCGGAGGAGGAGGCGGCGAGAGGACACCCGGGCCTCCTGCCGCCACAGCCGGGTCGGGCCAAGCAGCTTATGCGGGGAGCGCCGGCGGCCAGCCGCAGCCTGGGGAGGGGGAACCCGCGGTCCCCGCACTAGCGATCAGCCAGTGCCCAGGGAGGCGAGAGCGCGCGACCCGTCAGTGGCCCGCCGCCGCGCCGCCCTCCCCCTCGCTGTCAGCCCCGCCGGGGCGCAGCCGCCGCAGCAGCATCTTCTGCCCCTACGCCCCCGCCAGCGCTGAGGAAGTCCCCGCCGAGGACCTGGGCCCGGGAGTGCCGGAGGAAAGACCAGAGACTCCCCTAAAATACCCAGATGCGCAAGATTGAAGGAGTGTAGCCAAAGCTTTCTGTGGATTTAAAAAAAAAATACGATTTTTTTTTTTTTTTGGCAGAAGAAAGGAAGACCATCGGGGCTCTGCAAGGAAAAAAGGGGTGTGTGTAACTCATGGATACGTTTCTCCACCTCTCAAACATCTTGTTCTACTTTGTAAACATTTTCTTTTTTTAAACCTCGGCTCCAGCGGGACGCCCCCAGACCTCCGAGGTGCGAGGAGGTGGTGGTTTTCATTTGGGGCTTTGCATATTGGGTTTTTAGGTTTTGAAGAGAGCCTTCTCTTTTCGCCAGACGTCTTATGCGGGGTGAAGTCCACTCGGCCCCCTCCCCCGAGTCTTCGTGTGCACGGAATTCGAGGAGATCCGGTTACTAAGGATATAGAGGAAAAAAATAAATCGCGTGCCTGCTTTTTTTTTTTTTTTTAATTGCCTGCTTCTCCCCACCCCCAAATTAAGTTGCTTAGCAAGGGGGAAAGAGGCTTTTTCTTTCCTTCAGAAGCCCAGCCGAACGCCTTTGGTTTTTTGCCCCCAAGGATCTTCCATGTAGGAAGCCGAGGCTGGCGAGCCCGACCCTCGGGAGCCACTACAGGGGGGCCTCTTTTTGGGGAGGCGCCGACTGGGGCAGGCTCGGACGCCCCCAGGGAATCGGCGGCCGCGTCCCTCCGGGGCGCGCCGGGGCCCGAGAGCCGCGCAGGGCGCCGGCCGTGCGGGGTGGGGCAGCCGGAGCGCAGGCCCCCGAGCCCCGGCGGGCGCCCCCGGGCCCCCGCGCGCGCCCCGGCCTCCGGGAGACTGGCGCATGCCACGGAGCGCCCCTCGGGCCGCCGCCGCTCCTGCCCGGGCCCCTGCTGTTGCTGTTGTCGCCTGCGCCTGCTGCCCCAACTCGGCGCCCGACTTCTTCATGGTGTGCGGAGGTCATGTTCGCTCCTTAGCCGGCAAACGACTTTTCTCCTCGCCTCCTCGCCCCGCATGTTCAGGACCAAACGATCTGCGCTCGTCCGGCGTCTCTGGAGAAGCCGAGCGCCCGGCGGCGAGGACGAGGAGGAGGGCGCTGGGGGAGGCGGAGGAGGAGGCGAGCTGCGGGGAGAAGGGGCGACGGACGGCCGGGCGCATGGGGCCGGTGGCGGCGGCGTGGGCAGGGCTGGCTGCTGCCTGGGCAAGGCAGTCCGAGGTGCCAAAGGTCACCACCATCCCCATCCCCCAGCCGCGGGCGCCGGCGCGGCCGGGGGCGCCGAAGCGGATCTGAAGGCGCTCACGCACTCGGTGCTTAAGAAACTGAAGGAGCGGCAGCTGGAGCTGCTGCTTCAGGCCGTGGAGTCCCGCGGCGGTACGCGCACCGCGTGCCTCCTGCTGCCTGGCCGCCTGGACTGCAGGCTGGGCCCGGGGGCTCCCGCCAGTGCGCAACCCGCGCAGCCGCCCTCGTCCTACTCGCTCCCCCTCCTGCTGTGCAAAGTGTTCAGGTGGCCGGATCTCAGGCATTCCTCGGAAGTCAAGAGGCTGTGTTGCTGTGAATCTTACGGGAAGATCAACCCCGAGCTGGTGTGCTGCAACCCCCATCACCTTAGCAGACTCTGCGAACTAGGTAAGAAGTTGTTCTGTGCCTACTCTTTTCTCTCCCTGGTGCGCAAGTGCTGGAAGAAAAGTCCTGGTGGGCTTTCTCTCTCTGTGTGTGTGTGTGTGTGTGTGTGCGCGCGCGCGCAGTCACCTTTCCAAGGGGACAGTACATCTTCTCCTGAAGCAAACGTGGGGCACTAAAACAGAAGGGACAAGGGGAAGTTCGAAGGGCATTCCTTGGGGGTTCCCTTCCTGGCTTTTCTCCTCTGTCGCCCCGAGGGTGTCCATGGGCACTGCTTATGCATTCACCGTACAGACTTGCATCTAAAAACCAGAGGCTCTGGTTTGCAGATCAGCAAGGGGGTGCAAAGAGAAGTGGGGGTCACGCCTCCCCTTCACCCGGAAAGGCACTGAGGTGTGTGGCCGAGTTGGATATGGTCCAAGCCCGCCAAAGAAGGCTGGGGAAAGCGAGCTATAAAAGCCGGAAAGTCTCCGCAGCTTTAGTAAATAAGGAGAGTCACGTCGGGCACAAGTGGCTCAGATACTGCCCTGGCCTCGCAGCTTCCGAGTTTTGGGGCAGAGGATTAGGATGGGAGGCCGAATTGTCCTAAGCTCTGCCAGCCCCGGGGTGGAAAGGAACAAGCAGCTAGGAGAAGTTGGCTGCCCCCTACTTTTTCCTTTCTTCAGCACAGAAAAGTATACAGTTAATGGTCGTTAGAATGGCGGTTTCCCAGCGTCTCGGTGACGCTGCTGCCCCTTAACCGCGCTGGGGCCTCGGCTTCAGGCTGAGACCCCAGGCGCCCACCCTTTTATCGTTCCCTCCCCATCCTTCTCTGTTCTCGGCGGCTTTGTGTACGGGTGGGGGGGACGCACCCTAGATGCCTGCAGAACCCCCAAGTTCACCAGCACACTTGGGGTGCATCTCCCAGGTGGGCTGGGAGGGGGGCCGGTGCCCCCCACCCGCGGTGCCGGGTGGAGCGGCGGGGGCGGAGGCGAGCTGCCCTCCTGGGGGCGGGCCGGGTGGGGGAGGGGAGCGGGGTCTCGAGTTCCAGGATTCCGAGGGGGCCTGGTGGCCCCCGGCCCTGTGAACGGTGAAGTGCGGCTCTGGTCTCTCGGCCGAGCCGGTGGTTTCCAGCCGGGCCCGCCGAGCGCGGCGGCGGCGGCCGCAGACGGAGAGGAGCGGAGCGCCGAGGCTGGCGCCAGGCGGCCTCTTTTGTTTATCTGACAGCTAAATATCAAGGCAATCACCGCCTCGCGGCCCGGCCTCCAACCCCCACAGCTAAGACAAACAGTTGGGCTGAAAGAATGCCTCTGTTATCATAAGTTTCTATCTCTCTTTCTCATGGCTCGCACTTTATATTCTCTTACTTTTTTTTAATTCCAGAGTCTCCCCCCCCTCCCTACTCCAGATACCCGATGGATTTTCTCAAGCCAACTGGTGAGTCGATGATTTTCAAAATATTTTATCTTGAGTTAGAACCGGAACCTCTAGAACCCCGGCTGTGTATGTCTAGGCTGCGGCCTGGGAGGTGCTTGCTAGGCTTGGTCCAGTTGGTGATAGGTTTTCCTCTATGGGCAGTTTGAATTTTTCTGTTTTGCCTTTATTATTATTACTATTATTATTATTATTATTATTACTTATTAACTTATTTTTGTGAAAGTGTTTCCTCCATATTCTTTACATTTTGTTTCTCTTTTTCATATTTGCAAATTGGTCGCGTATTGACCCAAGTTAGCTCAGCTTTTTTAACTCATGGAGGCTTTAATCCGTGCGGTGTCTTGGAAGCCAAATAGGACAGGTTGATGGGAACATTCAGAGACTTTGTAAGTGCCAGGAGAATCAGTGGAAAGGATGGAAGGGATGATCAGATGGAAGGGAAGACTTTCAGAAGTTGCAGAGGGGACTTGGGTTTGGGGTGAGACACTAGAACACTTAAGAAGCATGGGCAACAGGTAAAGGGAAGGTCTAGCCCCTGCCCAGCCACCTCCAGAGTCAGCCCTCCTGGGGTTTTCTCAGAATTCTTGGTAGGGCCCATAAAAGTTTTTAGCATAACTCTGCCTGCCTGTTGCTTTGTCACCGGATGGCATGGGGCCAGGGCAGAAGCCCATTTGAGACTGGCACCAGCCCCGTTGCGGTTGTCTGCATTCAACTTCTGGCTGGCAGTACAAGGGCCCATCCTTTGGAGCTGTCAGTGCCAGGGGACAGGGTCAGCAGAACGGATTGGGGATGACAGCAGGAACCAGCTTTGTTTCCTGGAGCCCCTTCTTACAGAGGGAGATTCATTTGCTAAAAGTACAGATTGTAACTTTGTTTTTTATGTCTGAATGCTGGGTGCCTGAGAAAATACAACTGCCTGTGACATTTTTATTTTGCCAAGGTTCTGGGAGAAGGAAAAGTGAAGGGTTGGGCACCATTTAGCTCCTGGAATTCTATAAGTCCTTCCGCCTCATGAGTTTTGGCTGTCGGGCCTTTTCCCCCACTAATTAAAAGTTTTGCTGGGGCGTTGTCATAAATTAAATACTTTAATGAACGTGTAACCGAAGCCCATGCTCTGCAGCCAGCCCTCCCGGGACTCCACCAGCTCTCAAGTTGGGAAGGCGTTTCTGCTTGCCTGGTGCCTGTCTAATAAGTGACCTGCAAAGCATGTGATATTTTGCTTTCGATTTACAAAACACTAGATAAATGGCCATTAATGAGGAGATAAGCAGCTCTCTGTATTTGTAACAAACGTTAACTAAAAATTACCAAGCTGTTTTCCCAAAGAAGGTAACTTGCCTGAGTTTTTGGCTTAAAGAATCAAGAATAGGTTGTTCCAAGGAACCATCACTGTCTAGGTGTTGCTTTTCTTTCTGTATTCTTCAAATTTGAAGGTTTTCCTTAAAAGAGAGAAAATTTCATGGGCCCAGGGGTAGAAATGGCTAGGGTCAGTGTTCCCCCAACCCCCAAAAATCATAGAAAAGAAGGACCTTGTTCTCTTGGGTTTACTGCAGAGACACTGGGATAATGTGTTCTCAGGATTTAAGCAGTCATTCTGTCAGGTCAGGGGCCTCCTTTTTGGTGAGTGGAGTGATATATTTATTCATTAGCAAGTGTTGACATTAGGTAGCAAAATGTGTGTAAACAGAGAAGCCACAAAGACAGGAATGTGCCATTTCCAGAAGGTGGGGGGGGGGAGAAGTGTTCTTCAGAACAGCCAATAGGAAGTGATTAACCTGCTAATCGGAAACCCAAACAGCTGGTTACTCACCCAAAACATTTTGTTTAAAACAAAACAAAAAAAGGAAAACAACAACAAAAAGACACTGTTGCCTAGGGACAGTAACAGATGAAGCCCCCAGGAGAGGAATGGTCTGSAGCTGGAGGGGGACAAGTCTGGAACTGGTTTTGCTGGTGGTGGTGGCCAGAGGTGTTGTGGTTAGACACCCAGATGGGAGGGTACTGCCCTAGCCACCTACCCCCACCTAGTACCACAGAGTGCTGGGCCTGGGAATTTAGACAGGCTGCTTACATTGCTCAGCCGAGGTTGGATCTTTGCTCTGGGGTTCCTAGGTGAGCAGGCATAAGGTTTTATAACAACTGTTATAAAAACTGCAGAAGGTTTTGGACAACTGTTTGAAGTCTTGACCAGTTCCACAACAGTGAAGTTTCCAGCTTGAGAAGAGGAGATGGGAAGGGTGGGTAGGGGTAGGTACCACTGAGTTGAAGGAGCCTTTGGCGGGCTAAAATTGGGGGCTCCATTTTGTGGTGGTTTAAGCTCTCTTGCTATAGCCTCTGGGAGGGCCCAGACTTTGAACAGCTGGCACTGTGTGGTCTCACACCAGCAGAGTCATCTTCCAAGGAGTATTAGAGGGGCCTGAGCCTCCGGGCAAAGTGGTTGTGACTTGTGGCTAATGGAAGGTAGGAAGACTCCCTATTTCACAAGTAATCAGAATTTGCTATTTGCTGCTAGATTTCAGTTTATGGAGTGGGGAGTCTGAGAAGGTAACTTTGTGGGTTCTGCTTCCTGTGTGCTCCATGTCTGCTCTCTGGAAGGTTTGAAGAACCCAGGTGGCCAGTGACCATTCATAGATTTAGCTTCCAAAGCCTAGCAGAAAGTCTGGTATCTTGACCTGAGATGGCACCCTGCCTTTCTTTGCCTCTTAACTTTGGTCCCTAGGTCTCTCTTAACTTTTCCTGGTCTCACTTTAAATCCAGGTGATGAAAGAGTTTGATTAGATGATTCATTCATTCATTCATTTACTGCTCCTTTCATTCATTCCCCAGGTGGAATGATGGGCCTCCCTAAAAATTAGAATGTGGCAGGACAGCGTTCTTCTGTCACTACTAGGGTTTCTTTGAGGTTTGAACCACCTGGGGCAGAGCCCAGGTATACTGGTTTTGATGGTGGCAGTGATGGTGGCGGATTCTGATGCCAGCAGTGCTTAGGAAGCTCAGAACTAAGTTGGTAAGCCTGCCCTGGCTCTCTGGGTAGGGACAGTTTGGTGGAATTCCCTCAAGTTCATTCTGTGGTTGCTCCCCAGGCTTGGGGTTTTAGACTTTGTTGGAACAAACCCTCTGCTTTAGAAGCTCTAGGACAGAGGGTGAGTCTTTTTTTCTCCCYCAGAACCCAGCATGACCTGGGTGCTTTTTGTTAAATAGCAGTAGATGAGAACCAGGAACAGCCTAGTGCTGCTGACTGCCAGCCTGGGTCTTAGGGAGCAGGAGACACAGGCAGATGGTGAGACTCTGACTTTGGAAGTCTGTCTTTGTGGGTAAGGGTTAAAAGTCTGGCCCCCTTGATCTTTACAAGCCTTACAAGCCAGGCTGTAGCTTGCGGCCAGTCTGGATGCTGAAAACTGGTTCATCCTGGCCACCTCCAAGGAGAGTTGTTGAGACTCAGTGGCCTGCCGGGGGTTGCGGGGGGGGGGGGTGGACATAGCCATGGGCTAGGAGCTGGACTCTTGGGAATGGCCTGGCTCRCTGGGTGGCCCCTTGAGCTAGTCAATGACGCCTCAGTTTACCTGGGTACATGTGGAACAGGTATGTTTTGCTACTTCACAGGGCTGGTAGGGAGGCCTAATTAACGTTTGTAAATCCCTCCTGAGATCAAAGGCACTGCAGAAGGGCAGAACACCATTTCATAAAAACGCGTGTGGTTGCCAGCGTTGGAGCTGGCTTACCTTTGATGTGAGACAGGCTGACACCCCGACTGTGGTCTCAGCTCTGCCTGGAGAGGCCAAGCTTTTCCTTTGAAACACACCTTGCCCCTGGCATTCAGCCAGCCTGAGCTGGGGGGAGTGGCTATGGATAAGTCATCATGTTTAATATGGGGTGGGTGGAGGAAAGGGGGATAAGTCTATCTCTAGAAAATGGTGAAGGCCCTCAGAGTAGTTTAGAAAGTACAGGGCACACACCAATTAACCAGTAACTCCATTTCCTGCTTCTCTCTATTGTTTTCCATTTGATTAAGTGTATCCTGCAAAGCTGTATATTCCTGTTAGGAATTAGACTCTCTCCTGATGAAATGAGATTACACACACAGCCTCCTGCCCTGCCCTCCCCTGGCCCTCCTCTGCCTGCCCTCCTCGTGCCCCTCCCCATTTAGGAGGGGGTCTTTTGTTGATTTGTTCTTGATGGTGCTAGGGATCAAACCCAGGGCATTTACCACTGAACTAACCCCTAGTCCAGCCCAGCCCAGGAAAGTTCTTCAAAAGTTATTATTCYAGTCTGGGAGAGAGTGTCAGAGGATATGGGAGAGGAAAGGACTCTGGATTAGAGAGAGAATCTCAGCATTTAAGGGGGAAAGACAGCAGAAGCTTGGAGATCATAACGCTCTGCAGCCTGGGCTTGGCCACCTGTACCCTTTTCGTCAGGGAGTTGGAGGAATGCACTGTACCATCTAAGGGCTCCCGTGGACTGCTTGCCTCCTGTCTTCTCTTTGGTTTGGTTTCCTTTTTGCCAGTGCTGTCAAGGGGGGCTCCACTTAGAAACTGGTAATGCACACCCCAGAGACTCGTTGCTGGTGGCCTGGTGGCCTCGGGTGGAAGGACTTGAGTATATACCATCCAACTTGGTGCATTAGCTGTGGAGCTGGGAAACACCATTCTCAGGCTTTCTACATAGACTTCAGGAAGTTTGGCATTGGCAGTGGTGCATGAGAAATTCACAGGGTCCTGTGTATTTGTGTTCCATGGGGCTAATTAGTTGTGGTTCATGGGCATTATTTTTTGTTTAAATTGCTTGGAGGGCGGTTGTAGAGTCTATTTCTCAGCTGGAATTGTCATTATCCTCATTAGCATTGAGGTCACTGTGCTGAGCACCTGAGGGTGATGGACAGGTCCAGTTAGGGCACAACAGAATCTGAAGGTGGAAAAGGATTAGCCAAGGCAGCAGGAGGAAACTGAGTGCCTGAAAGATTTCTGTCGGAGCTGAGATCAAGCAGCCTTGTGGAGTGGGGTTGCCCGGGAAGGTTTCCAGAAATGGGGGAGGTTTGGACAGTTTGGAAGCAGGGAGAGCATTTCCCCTCGGGCTTGGAGCCTGGCTGGGAAGCTTCTATCTTGATCTGGTGGTGCTTACACAGGTGTATACACGAGTCCACTTGAAACGTTTATGCTCCACTGTACTCAAGTTAGACCTCAGTTAAAAAGGAAAAGAAAGTCCTCAAGAACTGGGAAATCTGTCGTTTGAAAGACCAGGGCAAAACCTTCATGGATGGGCGTGTCAGAGAGGCCACCTCCTCTAGACGAGGGGGCTTTTGTCCTTGATTAGGGAGGACACAGCAACCAGGGTGGAGAAAGTATACCTGAACCTCCTTTGACCTTGGGACCACCAAGTCCCCTCAATGGGGACTTGTTATTAGGAAGAATTGAGCTAGTCTGTGATCCAGCCTGACTTGACTAAAGATTAAGGGCTGCCCCAGAACCCAGACAGGTGACAAGGTGCTGTGGTCTGTCTCAGGATGGGCAGACCATTGATAATCTGCACCGAGGCTGGCCCTCTGTTGTGCTGTTTAGGCTGTGCCTAGAGATTAGTCCTGGTGTATTCATATGTTTCTCCCCCTCTTTGAATCCACAGCAGACTGTCCAGATGCTGTGCCTTCCTCCGCTGAAACAGGGGGAACAAATTATCTGGCCCCTGGGGGGCTTTCAGGTAAGATGCTTTCTCTTATTTTCCTGGCAATTCCAAGATTTCTAAAAATTGCTGGAGTCTGAAGGAAGGGGGTGACCTTCTGCCACCCCAGCTGRTCTGGAGTCGTTCTCATTCTCATTTTTATGTGCCTTAAACTGGATGCGTKCAGGGAGGCTGGTGCTCGAGCTCATCGTCCTACAGTCCTTTATGCGGCGTTGGCCAGTTCCATGGAGGGGGAAACTGGAGCTGGCCAGGGGCTAGTTTTGTGTTGTTTTGTGGTGGTTTTAAGCAGCTTATGGCTCGAGGGACTTCCACTTGGTGATTTTGTGTCTTGAACTCATGCATTTAAGCTCTGTTTTTGCCCTTGCTCTTTGTGCATGAGGTGGCTTGAAGMGGGGGGAGGGGGAGGGGACACACCTTTAGGGGAACTTGTTGAGAACCGATTCCAAACAGATTCTTGAACCTCCTTGCCAAGTCCTGATTGCCCTTCCAGCTCTGTGTAAAGTTCTCCAGCCCGTGTCTGGGGATAGGAACTGCAGGGCAGGTATGCTGCAGACAGTGGATTCCCTAGCTGTCCCCTGAGGGCAGGCTTTCCTCTGTGGCCCACAGGCTGAGGCCCTGGAATGCTGCTGGAGGATCCTGGGTTGGAGGAGATGCTGCATTGGGGAGCCTATCCCTCATTGTCCCTGAGGACACCAGGAAAGGGTGATACTGGGGGAAGCTCACTGGCACTGTGTGAGAGGCAGATAGTTCTGTTCTAAAGACATTGTCTTTCTTCCTGTTTCTTTCACCTCACCATGCCATCACTCGATTTTAAGAAGTAGCTAAAGCAAGAGAAAGTCACCTGGCGGGTAAAAAGCAGAGTAGTTGTAGCAGASTTCTGGTCATTTTCTTGCCTTTGGGCCACTGTGTAAGGCTATGGTGTAGCAGCTCAAATGGAAGCAGTCAAACTTGTTTTGCACCCTCCTTGGTGGGGTTACCCCCTGACTAATTGGTCAAGCTTTGCCACCACGTGCTGCTCACTACAGCTCCTCCTGGGTAGCTCCCTCCCCTCCAGGAGTAGAGCTTGCTGAGAGTCTGTGGGGAGACCCTTGTTTGTTTGGATTTCAGGGCAGTATATACTCTGACTGTTATCTGAGACACAGGGTATTGTTTACTCAAGGCTTCTAATGAGAACTGAGCAGGAAAAGAAGGACCCAGAGGAGAGGGGGCTTTGGGCAGGGGGTGGGGAGTGGACGGTGGCTGAGCAGGGAGCGAGCAGGCAAGTGCAGCGATGTGTAAATTGTCTTTTTTCTGCTTTCTAAGGCTGAGGGAGTTGAGAGAGTTCTGGAAAGAAAGGGACAAGGAGAGGAAAGGGTCTGGGCAGAATAACATGCTCGGGATGTTGTTGGAGGCTTTTATTTTTTAAACCCTGGGTGTGCAGGGAGGAGCCCCAGCCCCTCCAAACCACATGAAATAAGCGAGGGAAGTGGTAGCTTTTGAAAGGGGCTTTTCGGAAGGTTTGTCTTATTGATAACATCTTGTCTGTCTCCTCTGCTGGAGGAAATGACGACACCAGCCTGAGCCACCACCAGCCTGAGTGCCTCCTCGCCCAGCCCCAGGAGCCAAACTGTGTGACCCGGGCAGCCCTTCCGAGATGGGTAGCCTTTTTGCTCCCTTCCAATTCCTCCAGTCTTCGAAAGAAACCAGGGGCTAARACAATCATGACCGACTCCCCCCCCCAGACCCCAAGATCATTGCAGCCACTTAGATTAATGTGGGGCTGCAAGGAAGAAGGGGTGTGTCTCTGAAGAAATGGTGTGGTTTGACAAAACTGCAAAAAGAAAAAAGTGGGGGGGGGGCCCTGCACATGAAAGAGCATTTGTTTTGAATTTTAGCTCTTGATTTACTAATTCCCAGGGCTTCAAAGTTGGAGCTCTTTCTTCTTCCTGAGCGTAGTTGGAGCCATGTATTAATAGTGCCGCGGGGGGGAGGTGGTAGGAACTCCTTTTTGAGTTGATGCCAGTGGTTTGGGGGTGTCCGGAGAAGAGTTGGTGGGATACACTCTTTGTGGTGTATATGACCCCCAAAGGCAACTGTGCAGCCAGGGCAGGACAGAGGGTTTTGTAAACTGCAGAAAGACTGGACCTTGTCCTTTTCTAGAAGTTGAGGGTTCCTGGGGGTGGCCTGGGCACCTCTGCCTTGGGGCCACAGGGGTGTGGCAGCTGAATGGGGCCAGACACTGTGGGGGAAGGGGTTAGCATAGCAGACCCCAGGATGAGGGTGCGAGCTGGGCATCAGGGTGGGGGGCAGCCAAAGCGCCTGCCAGGGGTTGGTTTCTGCCTCCTCCCCCTTGAAATAACCTCTCTTTTTCACAGGCCCTGTGTGCTGTTTTCCTTCCTGTCCTGCCCTGACTGAGACCGGCTTAATGAATGGGGCTCAGTTTAGGGTGGGAGGAAGGTCGGCAGCGGGAGCCAGAGCTTGATTCTCTTGGCAAGGGAAGAAGGGAAAGAAAAAGCAGCCGAATGTGAAAATGCGAAAATGCGGTGCCTCAGAGGTGGGGGTGGGGCGCGCTCAAAGGCCTACCCCCTCCTGAGACGCAGGGGTGACTCCAAGGCTGGCCCTTCCCTTTCCTGCGCCCTTGCAAATGGCTGGCCCAGAGGAAGGGGAGTGGGCGGGTAGAGCCCAGGGAGCGGGGCCGCTGGCTGCAGGTTGGAATTCCAGCCTTGCATCTTGGCTCTGGGGGGGTGCGGGGAGGGGACCGACAGGCCCAGTCCTTCCTTGCAAGTGAAACACACCCCACCCCTGCAAGTATCCTCAGTCTGGGAAAATGGATCATTTTTAGAAGGCAGTGACTTTGGTTCCAGGAGATTGTACTTTCATTTCTGACAGCCGGCTCTCTGAGACAGATGGATTGCTCAGTGCAAGCTTATGCGTGTGTGCGTGTGCGTGTGTGTGTGTGTGTGTGTGTGTGTGTGTGTGTACATGCACTGCGCGCCTTAGACATACAGACAGTCCCGTGCACAGACACGCGAGCCCGCATATGCCCACAGGCAGGCGTGGAGATAGGCTAAGGTCCTGTCCCATGTTTGGTTGACGTCAGAGGAGCCTCTCCATGAAGATGTGGCCTTGGGTGGTGTTTGTGGATTGGTACTGTGATTTGGCAGCCTGAGTTCAGCTCTCTCAGCAAGGGTGTCTTTTTTGAAAGGAATGCAACTCCAGATCAAGCCCTTGCTGCTGCTTGGACACATGTGTCATGGCTCAGGAAGATCTACCTTGGCAAGGTCTGACATATCCGGGAAGCTTCTAGGTCCAGCTCAGGGGTGGAAATGGAAAAGGATTTGCTCCCACAGCTTCCACTGTGTCACTAGTAATGAAAAGCATGTGTTCGAAGCTGTCATCTGTGAGCCTTCATCTGGAGTTTCTGGGGATCTTGCACTTCACCTGTCTGCTGGYCTCCTTTGGGTGGAAGGAGCAACCTCTCACCCGTTCTCGGTTATTCAGTGACAGACCCATCCTCCAGCCACCACCACCAGGTATAAATGTCTGGCACTGGCTGGTTCTCAGCCAGATGGACTTCCCCAGCCAGAGCARGATTGGAGGCCACCAGCCTTTTGTAGTTATTTCAGCTTCAAAAGAGGTGTCCCTGTGATTTCCTGGAGGGAGGGAGGGGTATCAGAGGCCAAAATGATCACACGTCTTGCAGGGGATTGAGGGAACCCCATCTCTTGGCTGTGCCAGCATGCTGATTTGGAAGGACCATCATCCCAAGGGGGGCCAGTTCCTTTGCTAAGGTCTTAAGATCCATGGCACCCAGGGCTGGGGGTGGGAGCATCCTTGCATCAGCACCCACTTGAGGAGCGATGTCTGTCTCCTCCTCTTTGATCCCTGCTGCCATCTGTCTTGGCTTCAGAGAAGAGCCTCCGAAAATGCCTATATAATCTGAAAATGCCTCCCTGGCTCAGCCCATGGCCGACTTGGGCTCAAACCAAGTAGCTTAGGAAAGATTGCTCCATCCTGTTTTAAGGGAAGCTATTCAGCTGCATGTGAACAATTATTTATTGTCTGGTTTGAAATTGTGATAAAGAACTAGAAATCTGGGCCTGGGTGCCTGTTGCTGTGTTTTTCAATGTCGGTCTCTCCCTGCCTGGGAATAAGTACCTTCTGGTTTCATTCAGGTCTCTGATGGCATGGGGGAGGAGAGAGGGGCGGACTTTGATCCTGGTGGTCAGGAGCCCAGGCTTTGGGGGAATCCCAAGAGCCAGCACAGTGACCAAGGGTGAGCTCCTTCCTCACCTGCCCCCTTCCCCCTGGGCCACTGTGAGAAATGACAGTCTGTGACTTCAGCAGACACACACAGTCTGCATCTCCCTAATAAGCCAGCCTAATGACTTGGGGCTAGGGCGGGCTCACCTGGTGCACACCCACACCCTGATGTCACCAGTCCTGGACAGCAGCTCTGACTGTATGTTGGCCTCTTCTGCAGTGCCTGAGGTCATGTGCCCATCCCTGGAGTAGAACTCCTGATAAAACCTCCTTTGTCTTGGAAAGAATGTGGCAGTTAGGCAGGGGTTAAATGCAGGGTGACAGCATTTAAAGTCTCAGGAGTAAATTTGGGCTGCTCTGCAGGCCAGACTAGATGGGCTGCTGCCTCTTGCATCCTGTCCCCAGGCAGAACTGGGCCAGCCAGTGAGGGGGAGGGGCCCAGGGGAAAGCCAGGCTCCAGGTGATGTGGCTTTTGGCTACAGTCTAACACACTGACTCCCCCACCCCCAGCAGGGCCTTCACTTAGCAGACCAGGCTGTAAACCTGAGGACCCTCTGTGGCAGACCGAGCCAGCCAGGCAGCGAAGAGGGAGGAAATGCCAGAGGATTCATGATGGAGTTGGCCTCCTTTGCTTCTTTATTACTGTTGTGACTTTTCCATAATATTGCTCCTTGCAGTGTTATGATGGCAGAGCTGGTCTTTGTTCACTTTCATCCAGGAGCCTTGAACTTGAAGTAGCACCTGTGAATAAAACGGGTATCTAAACCTGGAAGAAT